ATAGTTGTGGGACCATGTCAGCCTGCACCTGGATTTCAAAGGACCTCAAGGACAGCCTCAGGGGCCCAGGGAAAGACGGTTGCAAAGGCAGAGCCACCACAGAGAATGACAAGATCAATGCCCAAACTGTTGGAGCAAGACTACCAAAGTCCCCTCTCTCTTGGCAATGCCAAGTGGAGCTGTGGGAGTGGCGCAGCCGTGGAGATCACCAGCATGCAACCCCAGCCTGGGAAAGCGGCAACTATGAGACTCCAATTGGTGAGAGCTGCTGGGCCCTGACCCCAGCAAAATCATACACCTGGGGCCTTGGAAACCCAACACCCACCCCCAGTGTGTCCAAGATGCTGGAATCTCCAGTTTGTACACTACTACATTTTGGAAGCATAAAGCTTGTTAATTTCACTGGCCCACAGCTGGAGAGGTATTTGTTTCAGGATAAATCCAGCCTTGAGAGTCACCCATCCCTGATTTAGGTAAGACTTTGGACTTTCAACTCGATGTCGGAATGAGTTCAGATTTGGGGGACCAAATGGGACAGAATGGATCTATTTTGCATTGTAAGACACATGAATTTTGGAGACAAGTACTAGAGTGCTATAGCTTGAACATGTCTCACAAAGTTCAAATGCTGTAAACTTAATACCCAAGGCTACCAAGGCTATCAGTGTGTTTTTTTTTTTTGGGGTGGGGGGGGGGGGGGGAGATGGTGCGGAGCCTGGAGCCAGGATCATGGCATAGTGGGTAAAGCCGCCGACTTAGATGCCAGCATCCCATATGGGCACCGGTTAGAGACCTGGCTGCCCAACTTCCGGTCCAGCTCCCTGCTGATGTGCCTGAGAAGGCAGTGGAGGATAGCCTAAATCCTTGGGCACCTGCACCCACAAGAGACACCCGGAGAAAGTTCCTGGCTCCTGGCTTCAACCTCGTGCAGCCCCAAATGTTGTGAGCATTTGGGGGGAGGAACCATCCAACAGAAGATGTCTTTCTTTCTCTGACTCTTCCTCTGTGTAACTCTTTCGAGTAAATAAATCTTAAAAAATATATATATAAATTAAAAAAAAAGGAAGGGAGGGAGGGAAGAAGAGAGGGAAGAAGGGAGGGGGCTAATAAGAGGTGATTAGGCCACAGAGGCTCTTCCCTCAGGAGTGGATTAGCATCTTTACTGTGGAGTCAGCTGGTGGGAGAGCGGTGCTATCAAAAAGGAACCTTCAGGCCCCTCTGCACTCTTGCGCTCTCACCCTTCCTCAATGGGATAACACAGCATGAAGGCCCTCATCATATGCCAATACCTTAATACTGAATTCCCCAGCGTCCAAAAGCTAAGAAATAAAATTTCCTGACTTTATAAATTTCCCAGTCTTTGGTATTGTTACAGCAACACAAAATGGATTAAAACAGCATATAATACTTAAATAAAAAGTTCAAAAACACACATGCCTGCACATACACGATAACAGAGGAAAAAGAAAAAACATTAAGGTGCAAAAGAAGCCAAACAAAATATTAACACAGGAACATCCAGCTTATCACAGCAGATCAGCTTATAACTCCTCAGCATAAGAAATACTGCACATTCTTACATTTTAAAAAGAGCCAAGATAAAAATAAATAAAACTGTCTCAGTAATGCTAAAGATCAGGTCAGCAACTAATAAAATTAAATTTCTCAAATAGTAATCTCTTAGAAATGTGCTATTTTAACTGCTTCATACTCTTAACAGATCCAGCCTGTCTCAAAAGATATAGTGTAACACAGTACAAGAAAGCAGACTAACAATTGAGCATATAAAATTCAGAGTCCATGTTGTTACCAACACAACCCTCTTCCCTTATTCCTGAACAACTTCACTTAACACACACTGATAGGAAGCAACTTGATTTCATCCACATGTCACAACCTAGGCATTACTGAAGAGATACCAAGAAGCCTACCACAGAAAACAGAAGCCTTATGTTTCCGCCAATCAAGTTAAAGTAAACGCCCCCGGCTCCAAGAATGAAAATCGGCTATTTAATTAGAAAACTGTTACAGGAGTACTAGGTTTTCCAATGCTTTTTTAGCACTAACTGCCTGAGCTCCGGACCCTATCTCATTCCTCTTCTCATCTGTGGAATGGTTCCACCCCGGGGTCCATGCTAGTTATTTTTCTCCTACCTCAGGGGCTTGCTTACCCTTCAACTCCCCTCTTCCCCTGTTTACATCCTGTCCTATCTTCCGTGTCGCAACTCTACCCATTTTAAGTTAATTAGAAAAGCCTAGAACGATGGCATATTAACTCAAAGATCAGCATTTTCAAACGGGCCTTTTTGTGGGTAAGAAAACTACTGCTTAGTTTCTTTCACTGCTTATTACTCAAATAACTCGAGTCCAAAATCACCGTCCAGCAGAAGTTTACCATGAAAATACAAAGTTGCTGCTCGAGAATGATAAAATTTCACCAATAAAGTAACTGCTTTTTACAAGACATCTGAAGTTACAAATTAATTATCCTAGCATTTCAGCTTCACCAAATACATCTGCATTAAAGTCAGGACCATCACACCAAAGGAAACACATGATCTGTTAAATAAATCTCGAAAACAAAACAAAAAACCTGACACCTACTCTCCTTTTTCTTCGCAGGCAACATTCCAAAAAGTTCAGAGGTTACACTTGCACTTGCACTTGCAAGCTTCCCCGACTAACAACTAAGAAGCCGCACGTCAACAGACACTAACGAACGAAAAAGTAAAAGCTATAGGCGGCACTCCACGGCTCGGCAGCATACAGCCGTCCACCGCACAGCACAAGTTTTCAAGGCACCGCGCTAGGAGTTTGCTCATCCAAACCTGTAGAAGACAGGACTCCAGACGACGGGCGCAAAGTCGCTCAAGCTGTCCGAAAACTATGTTGAAATGCAAATGCTGTGAAATTCCTACACTACACTCTAGATTAAACCTGAGCGCGCTAAAGACGCGGCGGTCGCCCTCTCCTAATCCTTAGAAAGCATTTCCTGCCTTGGGAAACTTCCCTCCGTCCTTTGAAGCGACTCCAGGAGGCCTTAGGCCCGCCCCCTACCCCCACCCACTAGGGAACCTCCACTCTCGGCAGACTCCACTCCACACCGGCACGCAGAACACATGTGGCCTCCAAACCCGGCCCCTTTCCACACCCCCCGGAAACGACACCCCCTTTCTCACACTCCGCACGCCACAGCCCATCCCCCTTCCTCCCCGCCCCCACTCGCATCACCCCAGTCCACCCACCCACCCACGTTCCCAGGAACCCAGCCTCCCTGGCTCGCCCAGGGCAGTGGGGAGGGGAAGCAGGAAGAGGGAAGGAAGGCTCCAGGCCCGGCCTAGGCCGCCCAGACCGCCTCGGGGAGCTGAGGGGGGGAGCCCGCCGGCCCAGCTCGGCTCCCGTCCGCGGCAGGGCCTCATCCGGCCCCAGGCCTGGCCTCCGCTGCCGCCCCGAGGCCCAGGCGGCCCTCCCGGCCCGCAGCACACTCACTGGCCAGCCGCGGTCCATCGAGTCCCCCGCTGCTGCCGCCGCCGCCGCCTCCTCCGCCGCTGCTGCTGCTGCTGGCGGCTCCGGCGCCCGAGCCGCCCAGGTCCGGCTTCTTGGGCCCCGGGGGCGGCCCGGCTCCCCCGGCCGGGGCCGCTGCTCCGGACGCGAAGCCGGCCACCGGCGCGCCCGCCAGAGCCAGGGGGACGCTGTTGCTATGGAGGCCGAGGCCCGGGGCCGCCCCGGCGGCCGGGTCCTCATGCAGGAACTGACACTCCTCCCCGTAGAAGCAAGTCTTATCCTTGGCATAGTAGCGGCAGTACTTGAGCTTCACGCCCGCCGCCGCCGCCCCGCCGGGGACACCCCCGGGCCCCGGCGGGGCCACCACCGCCACTGCCGCCGCCGCCAGCGAGGAGGAGGAAGGGGAGGCGGCGGCCGAGGGGGGCGGGAGGCCGCCGCCACTGTTCATGGCAACGCCGCAGCCTCGTCTTCCGCCGCCGCCCGAGGAGCCGCCGCCGCCACCATAGACGGGGGAGGGACGGAAGACGCTGCCGGTGCCGGATAAAAGCCTGGGCGGGTGGGTCTGTCCCGCTGCGGGAGCCGGAGCCGCCCGGGGAGAGGGGGGGAGGGGAGAGGGGAGGGAGGAGGGGGTAGGAAGGAGGGGAGGGGAGGGGGAGAGTTGGGATTCTCTCACTCACTCTCTCGTTCTCTTTTCTTAAAGGGGCCGCGCGGGACGGCGGGGTGGGCACGCGGGCCCAGACGGGGACGTCGAGGGCGCGGGCAGGGGGGAGAGGGAGCGGCGGCGGCGGCAGCAGCGGCGGCGGCGGCGGCGGCGAGCGGGTGGGCAGGGCGGAGGGGCTGGTTTATTTTTAAATTCTGCCTCCACTCGCTCTCTCGCGCTCTGGTTCCTCCGAGTTGTTTATTCCATTTTCCTCTTCCTGAGACGGCCGTCGCCGACGCGCGTGCGCGCCGCGGCGCGGGGGCTTGTGGGTAGCGGGAGCGCGTGGGGAAGCCCGGCTGGGCGTCGGGTCCCCGGGGCATCCGCGAGCCGGCAGCGGTTGGACGGGCGGGCTTCGGCGGCGGGTCCGGGCGCCGCTCCGAGGCCGGAGTTCTCACGAGACCGGAGGCCCTTTTGTCGTATATTCTCTTCCTTGTAAAGCCAGGTGTCCTTTTTTTTTTTTTTTAATGGAAAAGACGGCATGGGCAGACTGTAGCCGGTCATTTGGAAGGGACCGTGGGCGTGGGGACGCGGCCCGAGCCCTGGTTCTGGCTGGAGACTCGTTTCTGATTGCCACACTTCCTCTCTTGCCCTCCCCTCGAAGGTTGGGAGAGCTACAGGACCCATGATGACCTTAGCTTCTGGGCCCTTTGTCAGAAACCTGAGCCAAGAAGTTGATTTAGACAAACCCCCTGCTCAGAGCGGCACCTGTTTTCTCTGTGTTTATGTGACTAAAAGCCCTCAGTAAATTATCACGGAACACACGGTGCCAGTTGGGAAGGTTTTCTCCATAGATATGCTAGCTTGCTTTTCTCCCATCAGCCTACCGACTTGAAATTCATTTTTAAAGCATGGGGGTCCCCGTGTCCCCTCCCCCGCTGTGTCTGGTGTTTTGCTGTTCTATATTTTAGAAAGGTGGGGAGGAAGAAAGGGGGTTTGGGAGATTTTCAAGGATTGTGATAAAGGGGAAAGTAATTTTAGCATTTTAGCTTTTCCCCAGTAAAAGAGATTGATGTCGGGAGGGGAGAGTGTTTGTTGGCAATATGTAGAGAATGGAGTCAAATGAGATCACAGAAAGAAGACCGGATATGAGCAAAAAGGACCGACCGCACTGCCAAGAGGGGAGAAAGGTGGATCCCTAGAAGACACGCTGGTAAGCCTGGTGATGTTCCTCAGCTACATTTGAAAATGCTAACATGTATTGTGTCTTTCTGTTGAGAAGCGTTTCCACTTATTGTTCGGCTAAGGCCCATCAGGTGCAGCAGGAAGTCTGTTAGGAGCCCGCCAGTGGAGCACAGGTGAGTAAAAGGCAGCCTTAGTTGAGTTCAGGTGCTTTATCCTCTGGCTGGGGAGGGGTAAAGTACTCAGGAGGTTGTAAGTCCATGTCTTTAAAGCACTGCCTGTTAGAGGATTTTGCAAGACTTGCTGGACAATGTGGATGCCTTAGTAGCAGGGATCTCAACAGTGCCTGCCCTTAGCAGCTGTGATACTCTTGGTAAGTTGCTTCACTTATCTGTGCCTTACCTACACAACTGAGGTAGGACTAGTACAGCCTCGTAACGTGTGAACCATGAGTGTGTGTAAAAGGCCCACACTTAGGAAGAATTCCCCAGATTGGAGCTGTTCCACTTGGTGGTATTGCTGCTAATAGTAGTCCACGCACAGAAGAGCATTCTGGGCAAAGCAGACAGCTTGTGCAAAAGGACTCGAGACACAAGAGCCCAGTTGTTAAGGAGAATGGTAGGGAACTGAGCAGAGACCTTGAAGTCCTTTTAAGGCCAAGTTACAGGGTTGGACCTTTTCGTTAAGGTCCTGGGAAGTTTTTACAGTGTTTTTGAAAAGTCAAGTAATGACATTCAGATTTCACTTCAGGAAATAAAGTACGTTGACCTTCCTAAGAACCCTGTGAAGCAAGTTCAGAAGGTGGACTCTCACCGTTTTTAGTAGAACAGACTGAGTAAGGCCTGGAGTTACAAAAAATTACCAGCTTGAAAATGTCCAATTGATTACAAAACCGTGCTCTATTACACATTTTGCCATTTTTAAATGAACATGTGTTTTCTGATGTCTTGGGTAGGAAAGTGGTGTTTATAGTGAGACAATAGGGGTTGAATAGATCCGTGCCAGATTAGGTCTATCACTCCAACCTTCTTTGAAAATCTACTATATACTGTGTGCCGAGGATGTTCTGTGCTAGGCTCTGATACACCAAATCATGCAAGATGCAGTCTTGGCCGGCACCGCGGCTCACTAGGCTAATCCTCTGCCTGCAGCGCCGGCACACCAGGTTCTAGTCCCAGTTGGGGCACCGGATTCTTTCCCGGTTGCTCCTCTTCCAGTTTAGCTCTGTTGTGGCCCGGGAAGGCAGTGGAGGATGGCCCAAGTGCTTGGGCCCTGCACCCGCATGGGAGACGAGGAGGAAGCACCTGGCTCTTGGTTTTGGATCAGCGCAGCGCTGCGGCCTTAGCAGCCATTTGGGGGTGAACCAACGGAAGGAAGACCTTTCTCTCTCTCTCTCTCTCTCTCTCTCTCTCTAACTGCCTGTCAAAAAAAAAAAAAAAGATACAGTCTTCGTCTTTAAGAGTTACTGGAGGTCATAAAGATGTATAAAGATAAAGCAAATCATCCCTCAGGACCAAATTTGATGAAGTTTTCTATTAAATTCTTGTGAACTGCGTAGAAAAAAAAATAATACTAAGGAACTACTGCTAGGTGACTTCAGTACTCTTTGATTAGTTGTAATCCAAATGTTAATAAAACTGGATTGGAGTCCTTGAACAATTTCCAGAGGGTATTGATATATGTCAGAATACTCTTTACTGCCCTCCTTTTGGACTCTATCTTAAGCTTCTTTATGTAAAAATTTTGAGTACTGCCAAGATGACGAAGTTACCCCCACAGCAGATTCAGCAGACTTTGCAGTGTGCTGCGAAACCAGTCAGGATAGATAATGCGATAAATGACAGCTGAGGATCCGTGAACCTCTGTCTGCTGGAAAAATAGACAATGCCAACAAACTTAATACAGGTAAATGTTAAGTTTTTGGCTCTGATTAAACTGAAAGAAACAGTACACACACTCATGGATGATGCAGTCTTCTCACTCCACCCAAAAGCAGGTTGCCAGTGTGTTTTTTTTGTTGTTGGTTTTTGTTTTTTGTTTTTTGTTTTTTTTTTTTTTCAAAAAGCTTTAAAATGTTCATTGCCTTTCAGTTGTTACTATTCCGCTTGGCAAACAAATCCCAAGAAAGTAGCTGTTGTAAGTTTTGTTACCAATATATTCAATTCAGTAACAGGAGAGTTGAAAGAAAAGGTAGCAAATAAACTAGATTGAAACTACAGGAATGGCTAAATAAAATGGACTATCCACTTGGAATATTATGCAACTATTAAAAATAATAGCCATTAAATCTTTTAACTTTATGACACAGTGTATCTTTTATGTTTAATATGATACAAAATTGTGCTGTATTATAAGGGTATACCAAGACTAGAGCCATGGCTCAATAGGCTAATCCTCCACCTAGCGGCGCCAGCACACCGGGGTTCTAGTCCCGGTGGTGGTGCCGGATTCTTTCCCGGTTGCCCCTCTTCCAGGCCTGCTCTCTGCTGTGGCCCGGGAAGGCATTGGAGGATGGCCCGAGTGCTTGGGCCCTGCACCCCATGGGAGACCAGGAGAAGCACCTGGCTCTTGCCTTCGGATCAGCACGGTGTGCCGGCCGCAGCGCGCCAGCCATGGCGGCCATTGGAGGGTGAACCAACGGCAAAAGGAAGACCTTTCTCTCTGTCTCTCTCTCTCTCACTATCCACTCTGCCTGTCAAAAAAAAAAAGGGGGGGGGGGTGTATAACAAGAGACTAGTGAAAATGTTAAAGTAGCTGCACCAAAATATTGATTACAGTCTTAGTAAGGAGATAAAATGACAGGTTTTTCCTATCTTTCCTCTATTTCCCAAATTTATTACACAACTATATAATCCTTCTATTATAGATAAAGTATTAAAAATGTATGTAATTTAATCTTCTAATTCTGAGGAGTGGGTACATGATGTTAATTAAATTGTTCTCTACAAAATTTTCACTAGCCCAGTGTGTCTCTTACTATTCTATGTGTTTAACAGTGAATTTGTATTATACCAAGAAGGATTCCAGTGTTGGGAAAGTTTGACAGCCACTGAGTAAACATCTTTAATTACAGCAGGTATTTTTCAGAGCCTTTAGTAGTTAAAAGCAGGATATGTTATGTACCATGAGCCACATCTTTAAACCACAGAACACTTTTCCTGTCTTATCTTGTGGCATTATCATCCTAGAACACTTGAGAAACGCCGTCAGTCGCCCGCTGTCTCTTTCCCTTTAGAACCTGTTCTCACATTCTTCCCTAGTCTAAAGTCCCCATCCCAGGCTTCTACCTTTCTTTCTTCTTACAGCCATAAAAAGAAAGCACCCAGCACTAACCCTCTTCTGCATATTCTGAACTTCATCCCCTGACACTTTCTGAGAAATCCAGTTCTCTATCGAGAATCTTCTGACTCCCCTGTAAGTATATAGATATGTAGAGTCTCACATATAAGTAATTTTTAAGGCATCCAGTTCTTTCTACTACAGACCTTACATAGAACCAAACAAAAAAAATATTATTTCAAGAAACACCCCAGAAGCTGAAATACTGCTGGGAGGGAGACTTACTGAGTAGCTGCTTTGAGGGAGATTTGGCACTATCTATAAAATCTTTAAGTATTCCTACCCTGAGCCCCAGCAGTGCTACTCTTGGTATCTGCCCTAGAAAAACACTCTGATGCTCAAGGAAGCACCACACATAATAATGTTTATTTGAGGCAGTGTTGATTAATGCTAAAATTGGAAAGAACCTGGCTATTTATGAATATGTGAATCATTCTGTAAGATCTGTTGAATGAAAAAGGGAAGGTGCTGATAAGAAAGTGGAATGTGACACCTTGTATGTAAAAATGTTAGTTGAAATGTATTTCCTATAAGGATATATGTGAATGCATACAGGAGGGCTGCAAGGATAAACATTGAATAATCAAAGGGAACTTTAGTTTAATCTGCATTGTTTCCATTTTTATATGCAAAATATATGCCTGCTTTACCTAATTAAAAATTCATTCCTTAAAGAAAGCCCTCACCACTGATTTCCTTTTGCTGCAGCCCTTCTCTTCACGAGTCTTTAGTCATTTATTTGTAACCAGTCTTTTCCTCTCCCATTCATCCCTTAATCAGAGGTAATCTGACATTTATCCTTGCCATGCTACAGTGTTTTTTGCCACAGCCACCACTGACCTCTCTGACCATATACTATTTCCTCGGCAGTATTCAGTGGTAACCACTTCACACTTCTCTTGCTTGGCTTCCAGTCACTTTCCTCCCCTTTTGAACCCCATGGCTTTTCCTCTGCCTCTATAAATTCAGTGCAGTCACATAGTAGGCATTTTAGAAATACCTGAGAAGTACATTTAAGTTATTAATTATAATTCAGTATCATGCATAGATACCCTCTGAGCTTTTGTGTTTGTGTTTTGAGCAGGAAGTTGAATATTAATGACAAAAAAAGTACAGTGTGTTTGGGATTAAAATAACTGGTGTGAAACCTGAATTTTATTACATTATACCTGTGTTGCTTCCTGCTAGTCTCTTAACCTCACTTAGTTTCAGTTTCTTCATTTTTAAGATGCATATAATGCCTATCTTATGGCTTTTTCTTGAAGATTGAATGATACAATGACAGCCTCCTGGAAAAAATAATCTCTCAGCCATTAAGTGAAATACAAAAGTTTTTATTTGCAAAATTATTTTAACCATCTTTCTGTGCAGTAGGGACTGTACTCCTGACAACTTTATATTTTATTGCCTTTAATATTGCCTCCCTTAGCACTCCCTCTCCTGCATCCCTCTACTTAAATGATGATGACTTTGGCTATTACCGTGATGATGCCTCAGATTCCATAGGGTTTCTTAGCTTAGAAGAGCAGCCAGGCAGAGTTTTCTTTGTCCTCGTAACAATCCTCTGAAACAGTTAAAAATGAGGATATGATTTTCATATGGGGAATCAGAATTTGAAAAGACCCTGTGAGGTTCTATGAGTTGACCCAGAATAATGCAGTTTAGGCATAAACCCAGGTCTTTGAATTCAATGTTCTGTGCTCTTTCTCCTAAGATACAGCTATCTCATTTGTATTTGGATCCTCTCACTCTGGGTTTTCCTACTGTTGCCTTCAGCCCACTCAGGACCTAAATATATTCCTTCCTCATCCTCTCTTGAAATGCATCAAATCCGTATTTCATTCCTTTAGATTCTCAGTCATTATCTCACAAGCAAATGTGGGCTTTTGAAACTCACAATCTACTAATAGGAAAGGAGCATCACTTCCAGTATTACCTGTGTGTGCTTTAGCAAGAATGTTAACAGATACACTGACATTCCCACTGTGGGGCATGGAGGAACTGAGTTGTATCAAAAAAGTAATGAGATTTTATTTTATTTTCTCCTTAAACTGATAATCTAAGTACTATTTTCCACATAGTCTCCTTGGTTTAAAAAAAAAAAAAGGCTTACTCTGCATAATATTTTTTAAAAAAATTTATTTATTTGAAAGAGTTACAGAGAGGTAGAGCCAGAGAAAGAGAGAAAAGTCTTCCATCCACTGGTTCACTGCCCAAATGGCCACAGTGGCCAGAGCTAAGCTGATCCAGAGCCAGGAGCTGCTTCCGGGTCTCCCAAGCAGGTACAGGGGCCCAAGCACTTGGGTTATCTTCTACTGTTTTCCCAGACCATAGCAGAGAACGGGATCAGAAGTGGAGTAGGCAGGACTCGAACTGGCGCCCATATGGGATGCCGGTGCTGCAGGCCACGGCTTTAACCTGCCATGCCACAGCACCGGCCCCAATAACATACTTTTGAGACTAACTTTAATACCCAGTCACATTTTAAAAAATACCTCCATAATAGCAAATCTACATCTTATAGGAAGGAATTTATTTTTGGAAATGACCTAAAGTTGCCAGACCCAGGTGTGGTAAAAAATTACTAAGCAAAGCTATCTCATTTGTGATTGAAAGTGTTAATATAAATAAAATCGATATTCTTCAATGGTTCAAAAGCTGATGATGAAAACAATTTCATAAAAACAGTGAAAACATTGTTAAAATGAAAGTGTCATTTTCCCAGGTAACTATAATAGGTATTCTACAAGAAAATTTCATTTGATCATATAATCTAATGTATTTGCTTTCAAAAACTTACTTAAGGATCTTACCCTACATATCTTATCTCCTAAAAACACATTTTGTAGGCAAGTACCTGCTCTTCAAGTAGGGCTATCTTTTTAAGCAAGGTTCTTTATTTGTGTATATGACAATGGATATTTTCCTTTTAAAAAAATAAATTATGACTACTTTTTCCATTTTTCAGTGTTCATTAAGGAACTTCCAAAATGATTTATTCTTCTTCATTCTTCAGGGATTATTCACAGAGGAAATCATCATTTCATATCTTAAATCCCAGGGCGCTCATGCATTCCTTGTGGGCCTCAATTAGACATCCACAGTGCTCGTCTTCCTCGGTGCTGCAGGCGTCACATGCCTTCTTGGAATCTAGGCGGGCGCCAGCAGGATTTCAGTGACTTCCAAGGATCTGACAAAGCCGGGCTTGTGGCCACCAGACCTGGCCTCAAGCTTCATTCTTGAATAGCCTTTACTAAAGAATATGTCTGTAGACAGCTCCAAGTCATCTCCCTGCTGATTATGCCAGCTCTCTGCTATGGCCCGGGAGTGCAGTGGAGGATGGCCCAAGTGCTTGGGCCCTGCACCCCATGGGAGACCAGGAGAAGCACCTGGCTCCTGGCTTCGGCTCAGCACGGTGCGCCGGCCACAGCGGCCATTGGAGGGTGAACCAACAGCAAAGGAAGACCTTTCTCTCTGTCTCTCTCTCACTGTCCACTCTGCCTGTCAAAAAGAAAAAATAATAAAAAAATAAAAATTTCTCCCCTTAGACCATCTAAAGTTGAATTTACACGTGACTAAGTTAGAATTTACTATTTTAAGTCCTAGAAATGAAATTTGCTGCATAAGTAGATAAATACATACATCTATTTCTTACATGTCACCTTATGCCCTAAGCTTTGCTCTGAATATTACTTGAAAATTTTATTTATTTGAAAGGCAGAGAAACAGATCTGCCATCCACTGGTTCTGTTCTCAGATGCCTACAATAGCCAGTGCTGGGCCAGGCTGAAGCCAAGGAGGAGGAACTCTGTGTGGGTCTCCCACATGGGTGGCAAGGACCCAACCATGTGAGCTACCACCTGCTGCCTCCCAGAGTGCTCATTAGCAGGAAGCTAGATTGAAGCAGAGGGAGATTCAAACCCAGGCACTCTGATAATAGGATATAGGTATCCCGAGCCGTATCAGCTCTATGCCAAACACCTGGCCCAGGCAGGATAATTTTAAAAATTTTTACTAGCAGTTGCTTTAATCTTACGTTGTCAAGCTTTGGGTGCACTGGAAACAAGATGTTTCCTGTTTGTAACAGTTAAATAACTGCTATTTTGAAAGATTTTAATGTATCTATGACTCTATACCCAAAGAATCTATTATCACTATCATAAACTTAGGTTTATGAGAACTTCAAAAAGTTCATGGAAAAAATGGAATTAAAAGATGAGTTGATTTTGCTGAAAAAAATTTTGAAATCTATGTATATATAGTTTTTCAAGATACATGTTTTCCCTGAACTTTTCAAAGATTTCTTTGAAAGGCAGCATGGCTCAGGAAGAGAAAGAGATCTTCTGTCTGCTGGTTCACTCCCCAAGTGGCTGCATCAAGCCAGGACTGGACCAGGCCAAAGCCAAGAGCAAGGAATTCCATCCAGGTCTCCCAAATGGATGGCACTTGGGCCATCTTCCATTAGCCATCCAGCCAGGCACGTTACCAGGGAGCTGGATCAGAAACAGCAGCAGGACTGGAACCGGCACTCCAATACATGATACAGGCATTGCAAGCAGTGGCTTAACCCATTCCACCACAGCACCGTTCACAGATTCTAGAAAGTTTATCTTTTGTAGTCTGTTCTTTCACAGTACTTAATATAGAGCAAGAATCCAGGTACTACAATTTATTTGGTATGTTTTAATGATTACCTAGATACAAATGAAAGCAAGAGATTATTCATAATGTCAAGCAATAAAGGTGGAAAAGAGGAATATTATATAAACAAAAGGTGTATGCCACAAAAATTATCTTAATAAACTGTACTCAAAATAGTAACAGTACAAAAAACCAAAAACCTAAGAACTTGGTTAGAATTACGCATGATTAAAATGAGAGAGTTTAAGATTAGTAGATGAAGGGACCTGCGCTGTGCCGCAGCGGGTTAAAGCCCTGGCCTAAGGCGCTGGTATCCCGTATGGGTGCCTGTTCTAATCCCGGCTGCTCCACTTCTGATCCAGCTCTCTGTTATGGCTTGGGAAAGCAGTAGAAGATGGCCCAGGCCCTTGGGCCCCTGCACCCAAGTGGGAGAC